AACTGTCAAGGATTTCATGGATTGATGAGGCCATGTTTTTGTTTGGCCACCACTGGCTGTTTTCCAACCTGAACCTATATCAGCTAGCAATCCCCGTCGGGGGAGGCGGTGGTTAGGCATGCGCAGCACGTGACCTAGCCATCTTAGTCTATGTAACTTTATAGCCTCGTCGATTGATTTTCCCTGTTTGCCCAACACTCTACGCCTAACGTCAACATTACTTACCTTGTGAAACCACCTAACGTGAGACAGAGATCGCAGCTATCTATGATCGAAAGCAGTCAACCTTTTCATGTCTTCAACTCGTTCGTATTGGCCATGTTTCAGAGCCATAGAGAAGGACGGAGCGAACTGCTGAGCAGTACACACGTCCCTTGGTTGATAACCGGATGTCACGCCTACGCCAGAGATGGTGTAAGTCAGCGAAAGCAGCTCGAGCTTTTCGGATCCGTGCTGAGATTTCATCGCCAATCAGTCTGTTGGTGCTAATACAATTTCCCAAATAGGTGAAGTGGTGTTTTTGCCAATTTATAAACCTTTATGTAGAAATCGCCCATAATATATATATATATATATATATATATATATATATTATTTCAGAAGAAATGTTACTCAGAGTCTAGTTGGGTTTACATTTTATTATCGGTGAACCACACCTCCTGTCTTCGCACACATACACTGCGCTCCCTTATGACTGTGAGACATGGTCATTGAGAAGGTGAAAGACATGAAAAATCTAACTGTTTTTGATCATAACTGTTTTCATTGTAACTCATGGTAATTGGTATAATAGAGTTAGTAATACTGAGTTTAGCTCTCTATTGTGTAACTATGTCGATTGACGTGGTGGCTAGGATATGTGTTATGCATTTCTAGTCATCTCATTCCTTGACTGGAAATGTCAGCTGACATAGAGGATGAAGTTTGAATACAGCTAATAGTGGTCAAACCAAAACTTGGAATCAGTTTTATAAAATCTTGGGCAGTGAGCATGAGATATGTAGGGAGATGAAGATTGCTTGGTTAAAGTCCTCGAAATGTTAAGGACCCGGTGACTAGCGACAAATTGGGGGTATTGCTCAAAATGAAGTAAAAAATCGTGTGAGTAGTGCCTTGATATGATTATGAGTGGCAATAGTTTGTGCTCGAAACGTAGTCAGTTAATATTACTGTATAACATTCCACTGTTTGATTTATCAAAATAAATTCCTATCCATAATGGCGTATTGCTCAAAAATTGTTCTCAGTATCGCGAATGCCTTCATTGTTTGGAATCTCTGAGATCCATTAAAGCCTATGTTACTGTTCCTTCTCCCTCAATTCGTTCTTTTTGTTCTAAATAGTGTTTGGCAACTTGAACTGCTGTACTTCTGTGCTAAATTTTTTCTCTGTTGAAATTCAATCAGTCATTTAGTTTTGTGAGGTTTATTTATGCCACGGAGCTGACCGAAGTTCGGTATCTATGGTGAGATTCGAACACGATTCACTGAATGGAAAGCGATCTCTGAAGAGTAGGCAATTTCAATGTGTCCTTTCTATCATCCATTGGCATACATATCACCCCTTATAAATCTGATGTGATGAAATTTTTCTCCTCTTTCGATACTGGCACTATCGAAATTGGATTCATTATTGAAATTAAAATAAGCCAATTAATATAATAATAATAATAGATATAAGATAAAAACTTGTGCACTGTAGTAGAGTATAATTCCATTATGAGTAAATTTTTGTTTTGATAAAGTCTCACAGTGTTATACAGTAATGTTTACTGATGACGTTTCGAGCACAATTTATTGCTCATAATCATATCAAGGTACTCACAGGACTTCCTAACTTCATTGATATAGTTCCATTATTTTTCACTTGATTTGATTGGCAGTAGTATTTTCCATATTTCAGATATGAGTGATGAATCATTTCTATTGCCGGTGTTTGGTATAGGCTCGATGAACAAGGATTCAGTAATCAACCCGTCTCTCTCCACCTATCTAGATTACTTCTTAGAATTTTAACTCTCTCCCACCCTGTTGTGTGGTTGTGTGTTAATGCATGCAGTGTAATTGCTGAGCTTTTTTCTAAATTACTTATCTTCTCGGGGTCAACCATTCTTCCCCTAGCTAAATTCTTATGTTCCGACAATCTGACTAGCCCCGACCTACTAGTTTGGCCTATGTAGTTGACCTCACTCACAGTCATTGCAGGGTATTTTGTAAATTATATTATATTGTCTAATTTGGTCAACCGACAGGGTCGTTTAACCTACAGAGCTTGTCCGAGCTGAGTGAGTTTGTAGGTTTAAATGCTACTCTAATTCCCGCTTTGTTAAGAATCCTACGTAAGGTCTCAGATGTCCCCTCTTTATATGGTATAACTGTGGATGACTTATATTCTCTCTTATTTATGTTATCATTACTAGTGTTGCAATTATTTTTATCTTGTTTTTGGCCTTTTCTGATCTTCCTAATGAATTTTATAGGATAGTTAGTTATTTAACACCAAAGCCTCTTCTGTCTGTTTTATTTCATCATTTAGGTCTTTTCTTGTGTTACTTAGTGCTACTGCTCGGTTTGTTAAACACTTAACTGGGCCTGCCTTCACAGACAGATAACGTATAAGTGGAATTAAAGTCTAAATATCTATTAGAATGAGTTGGTTTTCTGTACACACTAGTGTGTAGTTTGCCTTCTTCTATTCGTTTTATTTTACAATCTAACATAGCTAATTCTCCTTGTTCATTTTCCGATTCAAATGTGAATTTTATTCCCTTCACTAGTGAGTTTATGTGTGTCAAGAAGCTAGATATATGTTCTGTTTTAACACTGTGAAAGTGTCACCCACATACCTCCACCATATTTTTGGAGTAGGAGTAAACGTATTAAGAGCATTACTTTCTCAGCTGTTCATAAGTATGTTTGCTACGATAGGGGATATTAGTGATCCCATTGCTACACCTTCTGTTTGTCTATATATTTTGCCTTGGAATTTAAAGATAGTAGATGTCTACACCAAACACATGCAATAGGAATGATTCATCACTCATACCTGAAATATAGGAAATACCAATCAAATCAAGCGATGGAAAGTAATGGAACTATATAAATGAAGTTAGGTAGTCGTGTGAGTACCTTGATATGATTATGAGCAATAAATTGTGCTCGGAACGTCATCAGTAAACATTACTGTATAACACTGTGAGACTTTATCAAAAAAAAAATTTACCCATATTGGAATAATAATACTAATAATATTCTGCTTTATTCAATACGGAATGGAATTCTCAGCAGTTTTCACAATATTGCATCTGATTTATTCAAAATATAAATAAAATTAACCAGAGGAATTTGTCTACATTTACGATATACAGTCAAAATATTCGAAGCACGAATTGAGAATATTAAATATGGTAGTAATAATAATATTAGCAGTGGGCTTGTTTGAAACAGTATTGTCAATTGAGTTTAGAAATTTTAGCATGTTATAGATTATTGAATCTAATGTTATATTGAAATAGTTTGGTAAGGGTAAGTACAAAATTAACGGTAATAACACAGTGAATAAACAACATTGAAAATGTATTATTATGTGAATCCATGTTGATTTGTATATCAAACAGTGAAACAGTTATATTTGCTGGATTACAAAGTGTCGAACTCAATTTATTCTTCTTCATAATCATATCGTCAGTTATAAACACACAACTTCGAAACTTTTGTTTTACAGTTTTCTCCTTCCTTTCCCGTTTGTCGTAGTAATACCGGTAGTAGTAGAATTTTCCTCATGACCGCGACACATCCTAAATCATTACTCACTACTCTACGTATCTTCAGTGTGGAATCAGTAAATAAAGCCACGCTGTTATCAGTTTTTCCCTCCACCCTGTGATGAGATATTAGATTTCTAAACTGTAGCATTCAAGCCAACTGCAAACTCAAATAGAAACCAGCTTTGTCAGTTAAAGAAAGAAAGGATCCTGTGGAGACAATTTAACAAAACAATTTAGTTTATCCAAACGCCTGCAACGATTGTCAGGTCAAATACTTACGTCAAAGCAGTAGAACAGAGTAGGTCAGGCTGCTAGTAAAGCATAAAAAACCTAGCAAAATCTAGATTAGTTGACCCTATTAAGATGAGAAATCTGGAGAACAGTTAGCTATAGCAGCACTACATGCAATTATGGCTGTGAGACCTAGCCACTGAGAGTGGAAGATATGAAAAGATTAGCTGTCTTTGATCATAGGTGCCTGCGCTCTGTTTCCCGTGTGAAGTGGCATAATAAGGTGAGCAATATTGAGGTTAGGCGTCGAGCGCTAGGTAGGTGGTAGGGGAAATCAGTCGACGAGGCTGTGAAGCTACATCGACTGAGGTGGTTAGGACATGTGCTACGTACGTATGCCTAGTCTTCACCTTCCTAGACGGGCAATGTTAGCTGACATAGGGTCAGGCTAGAAAAAAGCTAGTGGAGGTCAAACCAAAACTTGGCCTCACCAGTCAATGAAATCCACAACAGTTAGTTTAAAGCACGCCACGTAGGAAGGTGTAGACTTCCTGGTTGGGGTCATGGGGACGGTAAAAACCAATGGCTGGAAACTATTGATGATATGGCTCAAAGTGATCGTTCTCAATGGCTGGCGCAGGTGCATCCACTCCTTGTGACTTATGATATCCAATGAAACTGTTTTGTTCTTCGTTATTACTCCTCCTTTGTCTTACACCTCTGCCTACTGTCTCTATTATGCTTTTCTTGTACTTTCTTCTCTTGCTTTGTGTGTTACAAGGTGGGAGTGTGGCGACTTGAACTGCTGCACATCGGTGCAAAGTTCTATGTCGAAAACAGACGGACAGGTTGAATTTCTGAATGTAATGAACAAAATGTGTTCAATACAATAATTTCATTCTCATCATGTACAGTAGTCGTCATATGTAAATAATAGTTATTTTTTTATCAGGTGGTTTTGTTTATTAAGTCTAATGTTTATTGTTCACTTTTTATTCTTTAGTAAATTATCATTAGATAATCAACTTCACAATACGGTAGCTACCAGCGATATAAGTAATCAATGTAAAGAAGAGAAAGTGAAGTCACCAGCTGACAAGCGATCAATACTACAGGTAAGTTTGACTATCTGTTATGAATGAATTCAGACGGTTTCTGTTTCAATCGACATGTATATTATGTATTATTGGAATGATTCTGATTTCAACCTGTCATTTGGACTAGAGTGTTCACATTCCATGAGAAGCTGAACACTTCGGTTCAGTTAATCACAACGGGAAAAACAAAAATTGACCTATTCGGCACAAAACTAAACACTACTGATTGATTGAAATGAGTAGTAGTCGTATACTGGTGCTCGCAAGTCATCAGCTATATAGAAGTGCTTTGAATACCGGATGGTTTTTTCGCTTATTTGGGGCTGTGCCCATCAGCGTTGTACTTACCGGGTTTGTATCACCTCAGAGAGGCGAATCAGTGTTCGAACCACCCGATTTCTGATTGGCTTCTTAGACGAACTGGTGACAGACGAGCGGAATGGGCGTCCGGTGTTTAGGTCAACCCTTGTCTTACTAGCAAGCATACTAGTCGATATGTGTGATATACAAGTACTCATCTCAACCCAATCCGTGGTATATATATAGTTCTGTGCAAATATGCTTACTTTCTTGATTACCAGTTATGTTATGCGGCGAATCACAGTATGTGGTCTGAATAATTCGGTTTCCAGAGAAAACTGTATTGAAAATTCACCCGCCAAACTGTGCTCATTGCAAATTATAGAAAATTGGTCTGAAGGGATAACATTCCTGTTGCACAAGATTTGACTCTCACGACCCAAATTATCTAGTGAATGATGGCGTTTGAAACGATGGTTGAGGGGTACAAGCCTCAATAAAAAAACCATCGTTCAACTGGGGATTTCAGATATATATTCAACTAACGAGTCCTAAATACGACGGAATACGCATACAGGAGGATTCCACTGCTGCTAATCATCCTCCACCAATAGAGATCTAGAGTGTTCAGTGTTTAGTAATTTCAAACCAAACTGATGGTGTCGTTTGGCTATCAGTTCTTGTCAAAATCTACTTAGAACGGTTAAATATGATCAAATCCAAATAGCTTTTCTATTGTACTTCATTAGGTTATGTAAACTGGTACTTGTATATGGATGATGAATGCACTGTTACAGATCCTACTCTTAAAGATATTAATCCACAGCGGCATTCATGTTGAGTGAGATAATATTCATAGTGAAGAAAAGAATATTTATATTTTTTATAGTTTTGATTACAGCTTGAATCCACACTGTATTTTTGGTACAAGTATGGAATTTTCAGCATGGATATCGGTAGTCCAAATTTTGCAGGCCGACCATAGATATCAGGTGTGCGTCGGAAGGGGATCGAACCTCGGACCAAGTGCATGATCGGCGAGAGTCCTAACCACTGTGCCACCGACGCACATGTAAAGCTTGTTATTTTCCAGAGTCTGTGTCGGTAGAACATTGTTATTATTAGGCGGTTGAAGGCAATCGACAGGAACCTTTTAGACTTAGGTTTTGTGCTTGTTGGCACATACACCAGCCACAAAGACGTATCTACCGTCTTGAAGGCACTGATGTCCTCTCTGCGATTAGAACCCGTGTCACCCAGTGCTGCTGCAGTTCGAGACGTGGTGGCCACATTTCAGACGATTAGTAGAATTCAGCCTGCACAAAACAAAAAACTAGACACATAACACCAGTTACTTACTGCCCACCCAGTGTTCAGAGTTAGTTGAACATTCTTACTGACTTATTTATTCTCCTAGCCATCTTACAATACCTTTGTGAAGCCTGCATTATAGTAGTAAGTTTGAATTTACTGACCATTGTATTGCGGTCCCTGTGACTAAATGGTCTAAGAGGTTGCTATGTAGCTGGAAGGCCATGGGTTCGAACCCTGTCAGGCGTTGTGGTGAGAGCAGGCTGCTAGCCGATTGGTTGGCACTAATCTACGTTAATGTCTAGGTCACTAATATTGACCGTGAACAAGGCTGTTTCAACAACCAATCACAGCAAACCTAAATGTGGACAAATATGATTCGCAGATAGATGGCTCTACTTTCCGAGAAATATCGAACACAACCAATCATAAGACTGTGTTTGTCTGCTTAACTTCCGAGAAACAACCAATCAGAAGACTGCCTTTTTCTGCTTGCATAAGCCTTATTAATGCATATAAAATATATATAAATACGTGTTGATTTTCGTAATAAAACGATCTGTTGCCAGCCCTTGTCTTCTGTTGTTACATTTGGTGTCGCTGCCTCCAAGAAGATGAAGATCCCGTGGCCAGCTGCGTTTGAAGAAGGAGACATACGGAGCTTCTTACGTGACTTCGAAGCCGTTGCTGAGCTGGTGGGTGTCAAGGAGCAGGCGGCGAAGGCAGTTGTCCTGGGGACGCTGTTGAGAGGCCGAGCGAAGGCTGCATATGACAGCGTAGACAGGTCAAATGGCACAGCGTCTTGGAAGAAATTGGTTGAACGACTAGTGTCCGAGTTTGACAGCGAAACAGACAGACAGCTAGCAATGCAGCAGTTCCGGTCAATGAAGCTTGGACCTGATGGAGACCCGCTAGTGTTGGCGGTGAAACTGACTAATCTACTTCGACGCGCGCTTCCCACTTTAGATGAAGAATCAGAAGCGCAGTTACTGTCTTCCCAATTCATCGAGAGTGTCCCAGACCACATTTCTCAGCGATTAAAACTGGTTAACGCAACGCAGCCGATGGATATTAGTGAGCTGGCGAAGGTGACCAGACAGCTGCTGAGCACAACGGTAGCCGCTATAGACCAACCAAAACCAAACGAATATGAGCAAAAATTGAAGCATTGCAGCGGGAAGTGGCGGCGTTAAAGTTGGCTGATAGAAAAGACCGGTGTTTTGAATGCGGTAAGCCGGGACACTGGAGAAGATACTGCCCAGAAAGGCGAAAAAGAAAAAATTTCAGACGGTATAATGCTTGTTCTTTCTTTCGTATGAACCTAGGTTTAGTGGGGGCTATTGAGAAAGGCGCTCTGTATTCGAAGTTGCGAGTGAATGATCGAGAAGTAGTATGTTTGATAGATACAGGGCGGCCGTGTCGTTAATAGATAAGAATTTATGTAAGAGTGTTAATCCGTGTTCATTGACAGTACAAACAGTAGGCGGGTATGTGTTGCGTATCACGGGTAGATCGAACTGTACGGTCGTTGTTGGTGGCTGCGAGGTGACGTTTCCTTTCATTGTTGTACCCGAACTACAGCGAACGATATTAGGAGCGGATTTTCTGCGTGAGATTGGTGCCATAATCGACACGCAAGCGAACGTGGTGATCACGAAATACGGGCATATCAACATGTATGAGACCAGCGAGATAGCAGCGATTAAGCTGTCGACGGTACACAATGTGACAGAGTTAATTAATAAATACGATCATCTGTTCACTGGAGATGGGACCCATACGGTTATTGCGATAAGGTGAATCATGAAATTCCGTTAAGTGATCCGAAAGTAAGGTCATTTTTAACGCGAAGAGTTCCATGTCATCTGGAAGGCGAAGTGGAGCGACAAGTGCAAGAGATGTTAAAAGATGATATTATTGAGGAAGCTGATAGCCCATACAACTCTCCAGTGCTGTTAGTAAAAAAAGCGAATGGGAAGTATAGATTCTGTGTTGATTTTCGACAGTTAAACAGTATGACAGAGTTAAGACCGTGTGCCATGCCAACAGTGGTAGAAACCTTAGATCGCCTACAAGGTGCGAATGTGTTTTCGGTTCTCGATCTTCGCTCAGGATACTGGCAGATACCGATAAAACAAAGTGATAGAGATAAGACGGCTTTCATCGTGGGTCAGACACAATATCGATTTAAACGCATGCCGTTTGGACTAGCAGGTGCACCGTTTACGTTCAGGCGACTGATGAAGCTATTACTTAAGAACTTGAAAAACGTGGAGGTTTATGGTGATGATCTCGTCATATACAGTCAAACGAAAACGATCACGTCAACCATGTAGAAGCCGTGCTGCGACGCATCGAAGAGTTTGGACTACGCGTCAACAAAACCAAGTCTCAGATAGCCAAAAAGAATGTTACTCTGTTGGGACATAAAGTGGGAAATGGTGAGATTAAACCACTGCCGGAGAAAATTTTGACGATTAAAACGATTCCAGCCCCGAATTCAAAGAGAAAACTGAGACAATTCTTGGGTAGAGCAGCGTTTTATAGTCGCTTCGTGAAGAACTTCAATGAGATAGCAGCCCCTCTATACAGGCTACTAGGTGAGCCAAAGTTTGTTTGGTCGGAAGAATCGCAGAGGACATTCGACAGAATTAAACAGCTGCTCGACCACCAACAAATGACGCTAAAACTACCTGTGCCAGGAAGACAGTTCACAGTGTGCACAGATGCCAGTGACTACGCTATAGGTGCGGTCCTAAGACAGGACGAGGGAATCGTTGAGTATGCCAGTAGGGTTTTGACCCTCACAGAGAGAAAGTATTCAACGATAGAGAAAGAATGTTTAGCAATGGTATGGGCAGTCGACAAATGGAGACCTTATTTACTCGGCCGGCGGTTCCACATCGAAACTGATCATAAGCCGCTACAATTTTTGAAGACAGCGAGAGACCCACGGGGGAAGTTGTCACGGTGGATGTTGCGTCTTCAGGAGTACGATTTTACGATCTCACACGTTCCTGGAAGTGAAAATGTCTTGGCAGATTTGTTATCGAGACCAGAAGATGAGTCTGAGTTGCCCGAGGTCGCTTACGGAGTGCATGCAGTAGAACAAGACCCACTAAGACTTGCACGTAGGCAGAGGTTGGACGATACGCTGAATACAGTAATACAGGTGATCACCAACGGAATAGAAGTGGATCAAACTACGGCGAGTAAGGAGCTAACCACACTACTCAGACAGAGGGATCGACTCAGAGTGAATGCCTACGGGACTCTGACCTGGCGAGAGAACGACGGAAGCTGGCTGGCTGTCATACCTCAATCGTCGCGCCACGACATGATAGAAGAATGTCACCAGCTAGCGCATACAGGCGTGGCCAGAACGACCGACCTCCTAAGACAAAGTATGTACTGGCCAGGTATGAGAGAAGACGTAGCAAGATACGTACTTGGATGTCCACGGTGCCAGCTGATGAAAGGTGACCGGTATATACGACCACCACTTCAGTCGATTCCAGTTACCGCGATAGGTGACTTGTGGTCCGTAGATGTCATGGGTCCATTTCCTCAGACATCCAATGGTAATCAGTACCTCTTGGTGATGACGGAACACGCGACACGATGGGTAGACGCCGTAGCAATCCCAGACCAACGTGCAAGAACCGTGACAGATGCAGTAGTTAGACACATTGTTGCAGACCACGGCGTACCGAAGACAATACTGACAGACCAAGGTCCCTGTTTCGAGAGTGAAGAGTTTACTTCCCGTTTGCAACAGCTGGGCATCAAGAGGATCAGAACGACCCCATACCATCCACAAACGAATGGCCTAACGGAGAGAAACAACCGTACACTGAAGGAGTGGCTGGCTTCGAAGGGCGGGAACTGGGAAACGGAGCTTCCACTGATTTTACTAACACATCGGGCTACCACTCAGGAAACAACGAAGAAGTCACCCTTCCAACTGATGTATGGTAGAAAACCACGATTACCGGTACACAATGAGACCTGGCCCATGCACCAAAAGTGGAGTACGACGAAATTAAAAGCAGAGAGGAAAGAGGCAGTCAAGAATGTAATACGGAAGCAGCGCAGTGATGTCACGAAGTCTCAGATGAAAGAAAGGACGCAGTGCATTACCTTTGCAGTCGGGGACCAAGTGAAGTGTAGAGACAGGAGATATACAGTTGGAGGCGGGCTAGGTTCACGGAAACTCCTTCCAAAGTGGGAAGGACCATACACAATCACAAAAAGACGGGGTCAAGTATATACCATCCGAAGAGGTGATAAACAGAAACGAGTTAACGCCAGTCAGCTCCAAAGATGGGTACAGTGGGACAAGCCGGTCAGTAACAATCCTCAACTAGAGGATGTAGCACCCAGAAGGTCGGAACGTCTGCGCACAAAGCTATTTGACGGGGGGACGAGTGTGGTGAGAGCAGGCTGCTAGCCGATTGGTTGGCACTAATCTACGTTAATGTCTAGGTCACTAATATTGACCGTGAACAAGGCTGTTTCAACAACCAATCACAGCAAACCTAAATGTGGACAAATATGATTCGCAGATAGATGGCTCTACTTTCCGAGAAATATCGAACACAACCAATCATAAGACTGTGTTTGTCTGCTTAACTTCCGAGAAACAACCAATCAGAAGACTGCCTTTTTCTGCTTGCATAAGCCTTATTAATGCATATAAAATATATATAAATACGTGTTGATTTTCGTAATAAAACGATCTGTTGCCAGCCCTTGTCTTCTGTTGTTACACCGTAATGCGTCCCAACCTGTGTTGAAACAGCTATGCAATACTCCCTGGTTTTCCAACTGTTCCCTACCTGATGTCAGTCCGTGATCAGTCATTTAGTGTAGTCCAAGATGCGCACACTCCGTCGCATATAGAACTCTCGTCAGCCGGGTGCACTCACATTACCAGAATGGGTGGTGTTCCACTGAGAGGTTCGAACCTTGTACCCAACGAAAAAATTCGTATCCTGGATTCCAGTGCTAGTCAACATTAACCAGATTTTTTATCATAAATGGGAGACACAGTTATTCAGGAGGATATAAATCGTGCGGAATGAATTCTGAATGTAGATAATCTCATGTTGACGTTTATTTCTGTCGATTTAGCACGCAGTGATATACTGTTGTATTTACTCTGTGTAACGTGTCAATTTAACGGAATCCTGCATGTTCATTATGCTTTCACTTTTATAGGTAGCCTATATAATTTAAACCAAAGCTCACTTTATATCGCATCCTAGCTCTCCTCACTTCTTGACTAAAACTAACCCTTTTTATACAGGTTGAGGCTTTTGGTATTGTAGACGATACGATTTCTGGAAATTCGCCTTCAGTATCTCACTAATACGTTTCTCATATCGCTGAAAATGCTGCATTGCGTTTTTGAATAGTTTCCTAACCTTTCTCCCACATTACTTACATATATCTGCAAAATTCTAGTGGAAAAACACTCACAGATTACCGTCCTGCGATTATTGTCAAGTTTACCTCAGATAACCTTAAAACGCAGGACACATTTCATTCATTCCTAATGACTTGACATAATGACTCGTTAGTTCCCTGTTCTTGCTGTGTACGCTACGTCTGACATTCTATGTTTCTAAAAACATACTTATGGTTATGAAACTGCAACTACCTGCTATCATACAAATTTCGCAACCAAATAAGGAAACAGGACGTACCACTACTCATTCGGCGCCCACTTTGAATAGCACCCCCCGGAATTAGTCCGAAATAAGTTTAAGGAGAAATTATTATTATTATATCCTTTAATTCCTAGAGGAACATAAGGCTTCAGCTAGGCGTCTCCATTGCCCTCTGTTTTCTGCCAACTTTTTCACTCCGCTCCAAGTCTGCCCACATGCTTTCATCTCCTCTTCACATGACCTCCAAGTCACCCTTGCATTGACGACCAACTCGCCGCTTCCCTTTCGGGTTCCACTCGAGGGCTTGTCTAGTGATGTCACTTGATGGTTTGTTTTCTCATAGTATGACCAATCCATCTCCATTTCTTCCTGCCTATTTGTTTCACAATCGGTTCCTGGTTGGTTCGCTCATTGCCAGAGATCCCTGTTGCTGATCTTTTCTGATCTTGAGTATTGAGCGAAGACAACTGTTAATGAAGGTCTGTAGTTTGTTTGAGATGCTCTTTATGACGCGCCAAGTTTCTGATCCGTATAGTAGGTGGCACTGATTTCACATTGGAGTTGAGAATCCGGATGTTATTTTTGATGCTGAGTAATGTTGATCTCCACACAGACATGAGAGTAATGAAAGCTTGTCTTGCTTTTCTGATTCTGACTTTGATATCCTCTTCAGTTCCTTCCGCATGTAGGTGAAACGATGCTTCCCAGGTAGATGAAGGAGGTTGTTTCTTTCAGGTTCCTCCCATTTATGTTGGCTGATTATTGTCTGTTGTTGTTGCTGTTGGCCAGGAATCTTCATTACTTCTGTTTTATCTATGTTCACTTGAAAAAATGCGCTTCACTAATTCGGTGACATTTTTAATGATTTTATTTCCTTTTCAGAATAACACACCATTGAAATCTACAGATGGTGAGCCGATAAATTCCCTCTTATCAAGCAAAAAACTTAATCGATATCAACCTTGTGGTCCAAATCCTAGTTTATTGGGGTCCCGCGCCATCCCCCGTGGTCCTAATCCACATCTTGTTCGTGGGCATAATGCATCACTTGTCCGTGGTTCAATTTATCAACAGCAGCAGACTGTGATTTCTTGTCGTGAAGTATAGTGGAAAGAGAAATTTATCTACTTGTCTCTTCGTATTTAGTTCGAGTTTGTTTAGCAATATTGTGATTATCGGATTTAATGATTGCAGATTTCCTTTGGTTTTTTTATTTATGCTCTCTCTCAAAGTTTCCAGTATGAATTCTAGTCTACTTTTAAATCTTACTTACACTATTATTCTCGCATCTTTAACAACGTATTTACGTGTAATTGACCACAAAAAGCAATAAAATATTATATATTTCTGTTCAATCTGTGTTTTTGCAATTATACAAACGTTAACTTACCGTAGGACATTATTATGCAACTTACAATGATGACGTTTGATATAGTTATGGGCTTTAATGTAAATTTTATTCGTTTTAAGAAGTATATTTCAGTTTGTAATCAGTCGGACTCAATCAGTAGTATTTAGCATGCAAACTAACATGGAACCAATCGATTCTCGGTTCTTCTATGGATTAATAAATACTCATGCCTCCATCAGAGATGCTAGATGTTTTGGTCTATGAGCCTACTTTGATTGCTCACAGTAAACAATCTGATTTTGTCTAGTAATCAATAGTGACTCAATTCTATGTATTTATTATATATCCTACTAACTGATAATAAATGCGATTGTGGACTTCAAAGTATTATAAAAAAAATTGTCTTGCTTCGAAGTTTTTCTAGCGATTAAACTGACTTTCTGTGTTTGAGTCAGTAGCTTAACATCCAAACTTCCCTCTTTTCTCGGCTTAGAACTGACTAGCAATCTAGAAGAGAACACTGTTCAGCCAGACCTCGAGTGAAACTAAAATGGAAAACGACAAGATAGGCATGGAGGATATGAAAGCTTATGGGGCGATCGTGCAGTCAGATAGGAAAAAAAGCTGCCGAGATGTGCTGCTGAAGACACCTATGTTCTATTCAGAGCCCAGGACAACAATAAAACATTCCGATATCCCAACCATAATAATTTCGGTTACAGGATTTCATCATGAGCTGACATCACCTATAGAACCACTAAAAAGCCTGGGAGTACTGGACAGCTGTTTCGTCCTAGTTTGGGACTTTTCACAATAATTATATTTAACCGTAAGAAATACGACAAGTTAAGAAACCATATGAATGAAAGCCATCACATCAGAGTAAATTTATTCTGCTGCTTATGAAGTGTAGAAGAAGGCATGTTTTCTCCTTATTTTATGTTAAATGGAAGACTTTGGGATGAGAAATCCTTTTCACACCAACTTATAAAACAACAATTGACCAATTTCCGGAGAAATGATCAGCTCTTTTAAGTGAAGTACCTATGAGATGATAGTGAAGTTTAGGACTAATTCTAGTTGCACCTCCTATTCATCGCATTTACGTGTTCATGATGCAACAACAACAGCTTCCAAATGTTAGTTTGCTTACAGGTTTGAGATAACGAGTTGTTGGCATCAGTAAGAGAATCATTGATTCGAACTCCGATGTGCGCGTTCTCCCTGGTTTTCCAATTATTCTCTGACTGACATTGGTTCGTACTCAAACCTGTAACCAACAAAATCTCTGCAAACCAGCTCTTTAAAATTAATCTAGTACTCAGTAGCGACTAGTTATATACAGGAAGTTCAAGTGATAGAAGTTGTGACCAGCGGGGTTCACCAAGTCAGATATGACGACAGTTACTTGCCCATGACGGCGTACCCCAAATATTCATCAACCTTATTCAACAGCTGTACGACAACGGAACATGTCAAGTGATCCACAACGGAAAACTCAGCGAGGCGTTTGGAGTAAACACACGAGTCAGACAAGGGTGTCTGCTTATTATCACCAATGACATTCCTAATTGTGGTAGACTGGATTATGCGTCAGACAGTGGGAAACCAGAAGACAGGGATATCCTGGACCAACCGACGTGAAGAACCTAGAAGACCTGGATTTCGCGCGTGGATGATTTATGTTTGATGTCACTGTCACAAAATCGAAGACTTACAAGCGAAAACCGACCGACAAACTGGTCGAAGAAGCAGCCAGCAAATACAGGACTCCAGGTGAACATAAACAAGACGGAGGTTATGAAAATAACCAACCAACAACAACAGCAACAACATCCAGCGTCAATCACCATCGACGGGAGGGATTTGAAAGAGGTCAGTTACTTCATTCACTTATCTAGGGAGCATTGTCTCAACTGCAGACAGTCGGAACGGACGAGGATGTCAAATCGAGAGAGAATCGAGAAGGCGAGTAACACATTCACCACCCACCTGAAACTAATCTGGAAATCTTCGTCACTCAGCCAGGATCAACAACAAAATTCGGTCGGATTTTCAATACAAACAGCATCAAGTCAGTCAGTTCTTCTGTACGGATCAGAAACTTGGCGGGCGGGTCACAAAGAATATTTCCAACAGCCTGTTGCAGACCAGACCTTTATCAACAACAACTGTCTTCGCTCTGTACTGAAGATCAGATGGCCGGGCCGGAAAGAATCACCAACAAGAATCTAACTATGGGAACAAACAAAACAAGAACCGATCGCCAACCAACAAACATGCAGGAGAAAGTGAAGAAGGATGGATCGGTCACTCGCTGAGGAGGCCTCTGGGTGACATAGCGCGTCAGGCCATTGCTCGATTGGAACCGGAAAGGGAAGCAGGCGGCGAGTGGGACGTTGGTGCAAGGGTGACATGGAGGAGGTCATGTGAAGAGGAATTAAAACAGTATGGATGAAGGCGAGAAGTAGAAGACAGAAGCAAGTGAAGGCGTGCATTTGAAGCCCTATGTTCCACTAAGAACCCAAAAGAACAATAAAAATTTAATAATAAAACTCGCTGATGACAATGAATGACGGTTGTGCTATGGCAGAAGTTGTATATAATAGACCACTGGACTCCGCTGCGGTAGCTGAATGTCTTCAAGTTCGCCTTATGACTGAAATGTCCTAGGTTTAGGAACCCGGTGGTCATGTGCCGATGGAGAGCCCTAAACTAGGACGAAACATCTGTCCAGTAACCCTTGGTTTCCCAATGGTTACCTAACCGATGTCAGCACGTGATCAAACTTGAAAAACAAAAATCACGACTACTGAATAGATATGCATGTACATGTTGGACATACAATATACATCTGTTGTTCTAGCAATCAAAACGCTAAGGAAACAACATATACTGTTATTCTTTTTATTATTATTAGTGGTAGTACTGTGGGTAAAAGAAAACAGCACAAAGAAGGAGAAGAGGAAAAGAACAATACTACTATGCAGTAGTAGTAGCATGCAGAGATAGAAAACAGTCATGTGTATAACAATCGAAACTACGGATTAAGAAGACAAATGGAGCATCATACTTCTACTGCTTATACATAATTGGAGCCAACCAAAAGTAGTAATAATAATCGACCAAAATAAAAATAATACAAATACATAGCAGCCTCTTCATCAACATATATCACCAACCACAAAAAGAGAAAACCACTGCATGTTGACGAATAAGAAAGGTTGGATGCACAGTCTAGGTGAAGTAAAGAAACAGTAGAGTAAGGACGGTAAACTTAGCTGTAAAAATTATAAAACTAGATAGAAAAAAAAGAAAATATTACCACTCGTGCATTAACATCAAGTGTCAGGAAAAAAACACGCCTTCGTTGAAAAAGAAAGCCCAGCTAACTTGCTTTTTAGTCGTATCCACGTAGAGGACATTATAACTTTCGAAGAAAATAACAATCACACAGAAAAATAAATAAAACGACGGAATAAATACACTGAATATTATTACGTATGAAAATGTAGTACTTTTTTTAAATATATTTTTGCTAAAATACCAGATTTGCGAATAAAAAGTAAGGATCATGGTGACTGACTTGATAGTTCTATGATCAAAAATATATGTATATTATAATACGATGGATATCATAACAAATATGAATATTAATAAGAATGATAATAATTGCTAAAGGAAAGTGCGTAAATATAGCCCGATTCAACAAAATCATCATCACTTTGCTGTACAACCATCCACCAATCAGCTGACAGTATTATGAATTCATTCGAGCAGTCAGTTTAGTGAAATAACCAATCAAGAAAAGGCCAGAAAAATAAATCAATCATGGTTGAGTGAGTGGGCGGCGTATAGTATCGCAGATTTATATATAAATAAAGTTTTGAAAAATTAAATATATTGTACAGAGAATAAAAGTATACGTAAGGAACGGAATTACACTAACTATTAACACTAAAAATGACTAATTATAATAATACCAAGTATAAACACTCATTCACACAAAACAAAACCATATTCTGTGCATCATACATCGATCTTCGTAAACCGAGCTAAAGACAACCATTAATTCAACACGGAAATTAAAAAAAAAACGGGAGGATGGACGATAGACACATAGAGATAGAAAAATGACCAGTTGTTTCTTTTTAAATATATATTCAGCACTCACGTAGATATGTGTATGTGCAGTCGATGCGTGTGTTTGTGTTTTTGAAGATGTTGACAATGCTGAGTGTTTGGCACATTCCTGTTTTGTTTAAATTATTATTATTGTGTTATCAATTAGAACAAATTAGCAACATCAACTGGAAGTTCAATAATTTTTGTACTATAGAAATTTTCTAAATCTTTAAGTATACGTTGATCAGCCAAAGTTACAAAATTGATAGCAACACCCTTACGACCAAAACGTCCACCACGACCAATTCTATGGAAATAAACAGAAACAATGGTAAAATAATATATCAGTGATAAAGCTGTATTTAAGAAATATTTAGTGTATTCACTCGCAAAATGTTTCCCCTTCATACATACTCGCCGACCACGCAAGTGGACCGGGGTTCGATCCCCGGCCGACTCTTTCCCTTACCTCGCTAAGCCAGTAATAAAGCTGGTAAAGTCTAGAAACCCCACTCTGTAAAAATAAACACTGCTGCTGATACTTCAGGTCTCTAGCTTGAAGCTCTATGCTCCACTGGGAACGTGAAGGAATGGGAAAAAAATACAAGCTCTACAAGCTAAATAATCGGTACTGTACGGTATGAAGCAGTGTCGTTACATGTCTAATTGTCTGCGATGTTTTCTCTTCATTTACTTCCAAAACTGTATAGTATTTTTTGGAAGTTAATTAGAAATGTGCGCCAGTACATGTAATGATTGATCGGTATAATTGCACAAAAGGTTTAGATATTTCGACAGATTAGTAGCCTACTGATCTAAACAAGCCACCTAATTTAAAATGATATTTAATTAACAAATGCAATGCAAACTGTAAGCAGACTAAGGCTTTAACATACCAACAGGGTATGAACGGAAAATCGTAAGCCATAATTTCCTACTGAAGACAGGTACAAATTCAAGTTTATTGATCTTCACTTTAACAAAATAAATAAGAGAACAAAATACGCGATAATACTACTGATGAATTAGTCACATCAACAGCTACGTGTAGTAGTTACACTTGGACGATTTTATTACGGAAAATGATCTGCTTTGTGATGATGTAGTTTGTTTATCAAGGATGACAAGCAAAACTGTGAAGTTAGTTGGAGCATGGTGACTAGCAGTGGAATCCAGGATGCGCATTTCGTCTTATTCGGGACTCGTCACAGGATGTAACTCCATTCCTCAGTGAGTAATGATGTTCTCACTGCACTGGATTCAAGCCTCAGTGGGAAAATCATTAATCACTGGGGAATGTAGGTACATCCTGTGGCGAGTCCCAGCTAGGACGAAATGCACATCCCGGATTCCACTGCTAGTCACCATGCACCAATTAACTTCTATTTATATGACCAGACATCGTCGAAGCATCTGCACAAGAAGCCGACATGTCAACCTGAGACCGAGCACTTCGGTCAAATCAATCCCCGGGAAAATCTAAAATTCAATTAAAAAATCGTGAAGTTTCATATTTTTTCCCAGACTAATAGCTGCCTACGTGGTGACTTGACTTGCATTTCATAATGACCTGGCTAGAATGAAAGCCCGGGCAGGTCCCAATATATATACCAGAAAAGTTGCCTGGAGAGCCAAGTCATGCTGCTAAGAGAAGGGAGGTGTAAGTCAATAATTCTGCCTCTTTGCTCTACGGACTGGGTATTAGCAAAGATTTCCACATAACAGCCTACCGTGCAGAGGTCCATAGGCGGCGGTTAGGGACTCCTCAAGCTGTTGTCCCCCGTAGTCATGTTTCTACCTCACTTATTGATCAAGATGGTCAATTGTCAAATAGAATATTATAAACTAAAAAACTATCGACATTTGAATAACTGAGGGATATTTCCACTTTTGTCGGCTAATATTTTTCTCTTCCCATACAATTACTCAGCTGATGGTTAGTATGTATGCATTTAACGCTACTAGAAAATATCCAATACACGCCAACACACTTTTTATCAGAGGGAATATGACAAGAAACGCATATCCATATTTACTGGTCAAACGATCTGAGATGGATTCACTTTAAGAAATTGATTAAATTTTCAAAAGAATGGATACTGAACAAAGAGTACTCTTTTCGATAACCGCTTCTTCATCAGGCTCTACACTTATATATAAACATTATAGTAAATGAATGAATTAGTGTTATGAACGACATTAATATTGCTGTTTAAATAACATCGAATCAATAATATTATTCATAGATTACAGCTCAATAGCATCAACATAAAATAAGCTGAATGTCAGAAAAATTAGGAAACATAATATTACAAATTCTTGAATTTATAGTCTCTACTGGAGGCTGGCCAGGGCAATAGTAGGGGCTGTACTTGCTTCTTTTGAACACAGAGCACTGGTTGTTTGAGGCGAATTGCGATAGCCTGTGGTGTTTGGAGCATGAGGTGCTTTGGTGATTTCGGCAATTTATTAGGCACCCGGTAGATTATAGAGAAGGATTCTTCTACACTGGCTTTGTGGCAGGTTTGGACCAGATGGTCCAGCGTCGAGCTGTTAATGATTTTCACTACATTTCCAGCATGGCTAAGTAATGGTGTAGTTAAAACCGTTAACAGTTCGATATTGGACCATCTGGGGCAAACCGGCTACAAAGCCAGCCAGCCACCGTGGAAGAATCCTTCTCTATCATCCAACGGGTGCCTAATAAATTGCCAAAATCATCGAAGCACCTCATGCTCCAAACACCACAGGCTATCGCAATGCGCTTCAAACAACCAGTGCTCTGTGTTCAAAAGAAGCAAGTACAGCCCCTACTATTGCCCTGGCCAGCCTTCAGTAGAGACTATAAATTCATGAATTTGTAATATTATGTTTCCTAATTCTTCTGACATTCAGCTTATTTTATGTTGATGCTATTGAGCTGTAATCTATGAATAATATTATTGATTCGATGTTATTCAAACAGCAACATTAATGTCGTTCATAACACTAATTCATTCATTTACTATAATGTGTATATATAAGTGTAGAGCCTGATGAAGAAGCGGTTATCGAAAAGAGTACTCTTTGTTCAGTATCCATTCTTTTGAAAATTGTAATGGGCATTTATAATTGGTTAAATGCATGAAGCTATAATTAAAATGCAGGTCACAAAAAAAGACTTCGAATTAACTAGACCATTAACATGGCGACAGTCGGCAACTTCCCTAGCTAGATGATCTTAATGTGAACTATTCTTATTAGATATATATTATTATCCTCTAAGATTGCAAGTGGAACAAGGTCTTCAACAGCGTACATCTTCATTTCATCCTGTTCTGTGCAGTCGCCTTTTATTAGCTGACTCCTCCACGAGTAACCAAAAGCTTTCGTCCCCCAATCTGGTTCCAGTTGAGGGCTTGCTTTACGTGTGATGTTACTGTCAATCAGTGGTCACGTCACCTAGCGCGTGTGCCTGATCAATCTCCATTCGCTTCGGCATATTTGTTGGGCAGTAAGGTTCCCGGGACGTTCGTAACCAACTAGAGTTCCTTGTTGCTAATCCTTTTAACGGACGATTTTTGTATTCCTTCACGTTCCCAATGAGACATAAGGTGGCTTCAAGCTAGTCTTGAAATTTCTGTAGCAGCAGTGTTTAATTTTTACAGGATGAGGTTGCTAGCTAACCTCACGCCCAACCTTTCCTCTTTACCAGCTTTATTACTGGCTTGGAGAGGTAAAGGAGTGAGTCGTTGGCCGGCGATCGAATCCCGGACCATGTATATGGTCGGTGAGCGTCCTAACCACTGTGCCACCGACGTACTTTAGTGGATTAAATGAGGAGAATATGTTAGATACACCTGGAGTACTACAGTACTGGTTATAATACACACCTGAAGTGATTCTTTGCTTTTACACATTTCGAAAGAATAACAAACACAGAAATATCTATGAAAACAGCATGATTTTGTTAGAAATTACAAATAATAATAAAAATAATCTAAATTTCAGGTAGTATTATATTTCAATTTACCGATGTATATAACTCTCCAAATTTGTAGGCAAATCAAAATTGATAACAAGTGATACTTGTTGGACATCAATACCACGTGATAGTAGATCTGTTGAAATTAATATACGACTTGAACCACTACGAAATGCAGCCATAATATTATCACGTTCCACTTGTTCCATTTCTCCATGCTAAATTATTGATTTGTTTTGAAAGAAAGTTGGGTAGAGAGAGAAGAATGGAAATGAGAGAAAGAAATTGACACAATCAGAAAAAAATACGAGAAATAGTAAAATATTTGTTGACTGAAATCTCTGCGTGGCAGTACACACAGCCCCATTTATTACCAGGAGATATGACTGATTATCCTCGCCTAATAAGAACAGGAAATGCTCTTCAGGAATAGTCAGTTAGATTAAGACGGAATCGAGCCACTTATTAAATTATCCCCAAAGCAGATCTTTGCGCATTAAACTTACTGTTAGGCATATACAAATACAGGAGTGGTGTGGCGTGAGCTACTGACAAAATCAGTTAGTAGTATATAAAAAGACGTCCAACGGTACAAAAATACCAAATTGCGTGGAGTGACAGACTCAACGTCAAAATGAGCAAATTAACCAGCTTTGCAACAAAACATGGGAAGGGGCACGAAAGGAAGAAAAAGAAATAATACGAAGGGCAGAAGTAGTACGGAAGATCTGTGCAAATAATGATTTTCATATAAGGTGTACATAGTTTCAAATAAATATACCATTACCAGATCTCTTGTCCTCTGCCGTAACATTTAGAGTCACTGTCTGCAAACAATGAAGATCTGATGGCCTGATGCTTTCGAAGAAGGAGACATCGAACTTCGACAACGTGGTGGCGGTAGTGCTGGGGACGTTGCTGAGAGGTCGGGTAAAGATAGCGTACGACAGTGCGCGGCGGTCAGGTGATAGACCTGAAATGTATCGGTTGAATGACTGATAAAAGAGTTCGACAGACAGGTAGTTGGCAATGCAGAAGTTCCATGACGCGAAGCTGGGACCTGAAGGACACCTGTTAGTGTTGGCGGTGAAGCTGACGAATCCTACTACGTCGCACACTTCCCACTGTTATGCGCAAATACTGAACATCAATCGGTGAATAATGGTAAACACCTAAGTAAAGACAAGTGACACCGAAACACAACTCATAAGATCTCAGGATATTTTAAGCTGCACTTCCGTACCACTAATAAACTGTTTCCGCCAACGAGTAGATTACTTTGATCAAAGTACACTGTGATATAGTATTGTGTATTTACTGGTGACGTTTCAGGCACAGTTTATTGCTCATAAACATCATTTCAAAGTACTTACGTAACTTTTAAACTTCGTTTATATCATTCCGCTACTTCTTAATCCTTTCATTTTATTGTTAGTAATATTTTCCATGTATCAGGTGATCCAAAATGGAAAACTCACCGAAAGAGCCTTTAAAGTGAATGCAGACGTAAGACAAGGCTGCCTGTCAACTATCACCGATGACATTCTTGCCGGGTCGCAGTGACGGTACTTATAAGATTATTCAGCCTAAATATCAAACAGCGTGAAGTATTTTGTGTGGTATTTGCTTTTTGGAGGAAAGTGGTTGAGCTTTTGACGACGATTTGCGGTTTACACTCACAATTGTAAGTTCGGTGGCACAGTACTAACCACGTGGTTAGGACTCTCGCCGACCATGCACATGATCCGAGGTTCGATCCCCTGCCGACGCACACCTGATATCTATGGTCGGCCTGCAAAATTTGGGCTACCGATATGCATGCTGAAAATTCCATACTTGTACTAAAAATACAGTGTGGAATCAAGCTGTAATCAAAAATAAAAAGTTCCTTCTCGTTTTAAGTTAATTATGGTGGACCGGACTATGTGGAAGACTTGGGGTGGGGAATAAGAAGACCGGAATACATTGGACCGATAAAAAGACTTTAGAAGATCTGCACTTCGTGGATGATTTATGTGTCATGTAACATAAACTCAAAAATTTATGGGAGAAAACCAACAAACTGGAAAGAGAAGCAAAGAAAACAGGATTTCTGGTGAGCATAAAGAAGATGAAGGTGATGAAGATAACCATGCACCAAAAACAAAAATCAGCAAAAATCACCATTAAGGGAACGAGCACTACTGAAGAGTCCTAAAATATAACGAAATAGTTGTCCAGTCCTCCTGGTTTTTAATGATCTCTGTAACTAACACTGGTTCGTAAGGAATATCCGACAACTGGAATTGATATAAACTACTCCCCATAAATCCTATAATCTGATGCATTTGTGCTTGCTTTCTTGACCAGATATTGTCATCCGAACGATTTCGATTTCCAAAGGAAACTGTGGTGAAATTTCACCTCCTCAAAACTGTGTATGTAATTTGCAAATTGTGAGTTCGATTGAATCCTGCATAATCTTGATATGAACTATGATATACCATAATGCCTTTATTTGCCCCAACCTTTTCTCCCTATATTCTACGCTGTTTGATAAATTTATTTCCCTGCCTCTTAATACCTACCTTTTTTCCTGATCACAAACTTGGGTCAGTAATGTAATAACCCTGGCTTCTAATCTCAAAAGGTATTCACATCACTCTTTAGTCTAGAAGTACCCCAGAGTCGAATAAAAAGAAGAGTGTTATTCAAGATTTAATACATTATTTCCCTAAAAAAATATTTTACAAAATTGTGAATCCCAAGACAGAATTGCCTTCCTGGATGTCCTACTTACAAGAAAACCAGATGGTAGCATGAAAAGAAATTTGCATAGAAAAAGCACTTGGACAGGACAATATACATATTTTCACAGCTTCGTTCCTATTAGGCACAAAAGAAATTTAGTGAAGACCCTCAGCCATAGAGTTAGAGCTATATGTTCAGAAGAAGTAATTGAAGATCAATTAAGCATTGTATGTGATACTTTGATCGGAAATGGCTTTCCCGACAAATTCATCAAGAAACACATGACAAAGAAAGCTGAAAAGGATTACTCACTATCTGTAAACAAGAAGCCTCTTTATATACGACTACAATTCATGGGCGATATACCAAGCGAGATAATTGCGAAGAAATTAAGAAAATCAGTTCAAAGAACTTTTAATGCTGGCGAACTACACGTATTATTCTCTACACGACCGATGGTGATTCCTCGACTGAAAGATGAAGTACCTAGACTAACCACTTTAAACTGTATCTATCAATTCAACTGCGCTTGTGGAGCTAGTTATATTGGCCGTTGCTCTAGGAACTTGATTTTTCGTGCTAGCTCAAGAACATCTCCCACTATGGCTAAGTAATGGTGTAGTTAAAACCGTTAACAGTTCGATATTGGACCATCTGGGGCAAACCGGCTACAAAGCCAGCCAGCCACCGTGGAAGAATCCTTCTCTATCATCCAACGGGTGCCTAATAAATTGCCAAAATCATCGAAGCACCTCATGCTCCAAACACCACAGGCTATCGCAATGCGCTTCAAACAACCAGTGCTCTGTGTTCAAAAGAAGCAAGTACAGCCCCTACTATTGCCCTGGCCAGCCTTCAGTAGAGACTATAAATTCATGAATTTGTAATATTATGTTTCCTAATTCTTCTGACATTCAGCTTATTTTATGTTGATGCTATTGAGCTGTAATCTATGAATAATATTATTGATTCGATGTTATTCAAACAGCAACATTAATGTCGTTCATAACACTAATTCATTCATTTACTATGATGTGTATATATAAGTGTAGAGCCTGATGAAGAACGGGTTATCGAAAAGAGTACTCTTTGTTCAGTATCAATTCTTTTGAAAATTATGAAAATTCAAAACTTCTTCCAAAAGAAACATTTGGGCATGGCAGAATTCACTGTCCACAGTAGATCTTTATTGCATTTAGTAGGCTGAAGCATATTTTACCACTTTCAGTATCTCTTATCGTCAGTTTTTAGGAGTATCATTTTAATTTGCCACACCTGGTATGTAACAGGCAGTTGATAAGTGAATAACCAAGTGTGACTAAAAAGTTTAAACAAGGAAATTTGTACAGAAGTGAATTAGTTCAAGTTGGCATACTTTATATAGATCACAGAAAGATAGAGAAAAAATATATTCCACACATAAAAAAGCTATCTATAATGAAGACATTTCTTTCCAGTTGCAAAATTTAAAACAAGCAACACCTATGGAAGAAAAAAAGCAGTATTTTAAATGAATTCATAAATTTCGGTAGAAAACTTGTCAGCTGAATACTCCTGAATACAAACATTGTTGTTTCTACAGTTTTTGAAGGTTAATTACATACAAACAAGTGAACATTGTGACAACAAACAAGTATCACTTTCAACGAGTGATAATCTGTTAAGGTGAATTATCGGGTGAATAATATTCATCAAAGTAAACTTGAGTTATTATGATAGAATTAATACTATTAAAAACCTAGTTTTGGACTCATCTGCAGTACACACCCACTGGGTTCCGAACCCCAAGACCTTCCGATTACAAGACGAGCTAGCACACCATTCAACCACTGGGACCCGATTCAATGGCCAACCCGTGAATTCTAACTTCTACCAATTCGTGATGTTAGCGCGACCACAAACCAATGTCACCGACGGAAACTCCATCTTCACTCCCGAATGGATGAACCCTACTGGTCAGGACTTCTCACAAGAACAACTTCAGGCAACTTCGTCCTGTAGCCAGCAACTAGCGAGCATCAGATTAATTTCCACAAATTGATAGAAGTTAGAATTCATGGACTGGCCAGTGAATCAGCCACCCCAGTGGCTGAATGGTATGCACACTTGCCTTGTAACCGGGAGGCCCTAGGTTCGAACCCTGATGGTGGGTGTCTCAAACTAGGGTGAAACAGCTGTCCAGAACTCCTTGGTTTCCAATGGTTCTCTAAATGATATCAATCCCTGGTCTAACCTGAAACAAAAAGAGTCCTTACAAACTAATTCTTTAAGACTAGGCGTCGGTGGCACAGTGGTTAGGACTCTCGCCGACCATGCACATGGTCCGGGGTTCGAGCCCTCGCCGACGTACACCTGATATCTATGGTCGGCCTTCAAAATTTGCGCTACCGATATCCACGCTGAAAATTCCATACTTGTACCAAAAATACGGTGCGGAATCAAGCTGTAATCAAAAATAAATAAAAAAAATAAAAATAAAATATTATTAACATCTAGATTTGCTAATATTCAAGTGCACGGAGAGTTTGTAGAAAAAAAACATAAATAGATTTAACATATGTAAACCGTATAGGACTAAAGAGCAAGATTTTAACAAGTCTGGTTTAAACTCACAAGGTAGTTTGAACACTATTCACCAAGATTAATATTCAACTATGATTTTTAATTAGCACATATTCCTAAGAAAACTAACGATGTGTCATAAAAATAATAATGGAAAAAAACATTGTAAAGAGAAGAGGGAAAGCGAAGCAAATTATAAAGAGCAAAATCAAAGTATGCTACCAAAGTAGAATACAGCTAACTACACTGTCTCTTTTTTTGTCTGTCTGTTTTCGACATAGAACTTTGAACATATGCGCGGCAGTTTAAGTTGCCACACTCCCTCCATGTAGCACACAAAGCAAGAAAAGAAAGTAGAAGAAACGCACAGTAGAGACAGTAAAGAGAGGTGCAAGACAAAGGAATAGTAGTAACGAAGAACAATATAGTTTCATTGGAAATCATAAGTCACAAGGAGTGGATGCATCTGCGCCAGCCATTGAGAACGATCACTTTGAGCCATATCATCAATAGTTTCCAGCCATTGGTTTTTACCGTCCCCATGACCCCAACCAGGAAGCCTACATCTTCCTATGTGGCTTAAACTAACTGTTGTGGATTTCATTGACTGGTGAGGCCATGTTTTGGTTTGACCGCCGCTAGCTCTTTTCCAGCCTGACCCTGTCAGCTAACATTGCCCGTCTAGGAAGGTGAAGACTAGGCATACGTACGTAGCACATGTCCTAACCACCTCAGTCGATGTAGCTTCACAGCCTCGTCGACTGATTTCACTCAAAACCTATCTAGCACTCGACGCCTAACCTCAATATTGCTCACCTTATTATACCACTTCACACACTTGACCGCTTCACTTCCCAAATAAGTGAAGCGGTCAACGTGCTCTACCACTTCACTTCTCATTTCTAATCTAGGAGTCGGTGTAGTCCAGTCCTGTAACATCATTTTACATTTGGCGGGAGCGAATCGCATGCCAAACATTCGTAGATTGCAGCTCAAGGTGTTCAGAAGACTCTGCATTTCGTCAGCGTCCTCGCCTAGAAGGACTATATCGCCTGTATATTCTAAGTCAGCAAGATTATTCCCTGGTAGCAAGTCAATACGTGTGTCGCTGAAGTGAGTTAGGGTTAAGTCCATCAGTACATCTATGATAAAGTTGAATAGAAATGGAGATAATGGGCATCCTTGACGGACACCGCTCGTCGTAAGCCCTTACCTGGCTGCTTGAGTGATATACACAGATCTGATTTCTCTAATCTGAGTTCATAGGCTTCAGAAAAATGAAGAGCTTTTCTTCTACTACTTTGTTTATTAAATATCTATAGAGCTTTTAATCAACGTCACTGTATAATCACAGCCCAACGTATGTCGTGTATATGTCCTTGGGATGCCATTTTGAGTACTAGAAAGCCATTTAGAGCAGTTGAGACAACGCAGACCGATAGACTTCTCTCTGTAGATCCAATGTAATTGCTTTCACAAATTAATTCTACCACAATAACTTCAAATATTGGTTCGAATCCCGGTGGGTGAGTACTAATGAAGAGTCCAAAACTAGGACGAAATAGCTATCCAGTACTCCCGAGTTTTCCAATGATTCGCTAACAGATGTCATCTCATGATGAAATCCTGTAAACAATAACTTTAGTTTATTCGTTAACATGTACTTTGATGAATATTATTTATTACTTAATAATTCACCTTAACAGATTATCACACACCACTTGTAGATAGTATATTTGTTAAAAACTATCCTTAATTGTTTCAACAAGGTTCATGTGTTTGTTTGTGTTTAACCCTAAAAAATTGCATAAATAACAATAATGAACAGAAATGTGCAGGAGAAAGAACAATAACATAGACAGTCACGAGGATTTAATGCCTCTGGGAGGTAACCAAGTGTGAATACATTCACATCAATAAGAACGATTCTGACCCATACTACCAAATATCTCAATCTATTAGTTCTTAGCATTACTAGAACACCAACCAAGCAGTCGACATCTCCCTACATGGTTCAAATTAATTGTCAAAGACTTCGTGAATTGATGCCACCGACCTCACGCCCCACTCTCCTTAACTCTTTTCCAACTTAGTCCTATGTCAGTTAATATTGTCCATCGAGGAAGGCGGTGGCCTCGGGCAGGCGCGTAAATTGTATCCTAGACATTTTAGACAATGTGGTTTTACAACCACCTAGCACTTTACGCCTTACCAAGACGATACTAGACCCTATCTCCCTTAAAAAAATAAACACTCTCATTACTTACCATTGCTGATACAATAAAATCACGTTCAATTAATTCATTTGTTAACCATTCAACTTTTCGACGTGAATTACAAAATATCACAGCTTGTGTTATTGTTATTGTTTGATACAGATCGCATAGTGTTTCTAATTTCCATTCTTCTTGTTCAACATTCACATAAAATTGACGTATACCCTCCAATGTTAATTCATCTTGTTTTAATAATATACGTACAGGATTTCGCATAAAATGTCTAGTAATTTCAAGGACTTCATTTGGAATTGTTGCAGATAGTAATATAACCTGATTTTTAGAAAATAAAAAATAAAATAAAAACAGAGGGATTAGAAGATGATTCACTTTGAATGTGTATATCCACCTTGTCACATGCTCCTGTGGAGCTCCAAACACACATTGGATACAGTAAGCGTGTTCTGAGCAAACGCGTAGTTGAGCACTATACCAGCTGTCGTTTATGAAGGGCGAACATAGAATGAAGAAGTTTTCCCACGTGTAAACACCTTTCTGAGTCACATCACTCAGCCCTGTGTGTGTGTGATTTATCCTTTAGTTATCTACAGGGATAAATTCAGCCACACTAAAACCATATATATATATATATATATATATATATATATATATATATACATGTATAGATGTATATATACCTATGCATAGCCAAACAACTAGTTATACACATGAACAAAAGCCTAAAATACGTATTCAAAAACGCTTTGCTAGATCTCTTTCTTTACGTCTATAGTTCACTCCACTTCCCTTTATAGTTGCCTTTGCTATTGTTATCACCAATGTAACTTTGATTTTTGATCCCACTTCACCTTCTCTAAACCTCTAAATACCAATTTCCTGTTTTAATAATCTTTTACAATTCTGTAATTTATCCACTTTAACTCTAGCCCCCTTAAATTCCATGTTAAGTAATCTCATTCTTACCATATGTATATGAACTGAGCGATTTTTAGTACTGCTTTATGCCTTTATATATATATATATATATATATATATATATATATATATATATATATATATATATATATGTCACAGGATTTTCATCATGATCTGACAGAAGGTCCTGGGTTCGAATCCCGGTGGGTGCGTACTGCTCAAGAGTCCCAAACTAGGACGAAACAGCTGTCCAGTACTTCCAGGTTTTCCAGTGGTTCTCTAACTAATGTCAGCTTATGATGAAATCCTCAAACCAATCAAATCCCTACAAACAAACACTTGAATATATATATCAACAAAAAAAATTGGTACAATATGGCACCAAGAAGATAATAAAATAACAGATTAAAAGTAAAACTATAGGTAGAGAACGGATAAAGTACTTCGTCTAGGAGGAAAGCAGTCATATTTAACAAATTTAAACGGCATTCGTCAATTATTGTTGGGAAGAGAAGAAAAAAAGAAATTGCAGGACGTTCGCCATTGATTACGATTCTTGGTCATATCCGATAACGTTTCGAGCCTCCGATTCGAGCTCTCTTCCGGACTTCAACCAGGAAGTCCTGACGCACCAACCGATGCTAACCTAACCCAAATATCCTTCATCCCACGACGCCACGTCATGGGTTGACCACCTCTCGACTCTTTTCATCTCGTCCGAGGGATAGCGAACAGAGACCTGTACGGAAGTCTCTGAGATGATATTCGCAGCATATGTCCAAGCCATCGAAGCCGGTATTTCCAGATAACAATACTCGACAAATGGTGATCTTAACTGTGTCCAAACCCACACTGCCGGAGCTCAGAATTACTCACGCGATGATGCCATCGAACGCAAGCAATCCAGTGGAGACAGAGATGATCAAACACGCAGAGTCACCGCACATCCTTAGCTCGGAAAGGCCAAGTTTCACAGGCGTAGAGCGAGACACCCGGCGCCAAAGCACTGAAAACCCGACTTTCGACAGGCAGACTAACGACGTCACAGCGGCGCCAGAGGTGGCTCAATTTAACATATGCCACCCTAACTTTCATGATACTGTTGGAAATGTCATCTGTCACGCCTCTGCCAGCACTCATACAACTACCCAGATACACGAACTCATCGACAACTTCAAGAGGTTCACTTGTTAAAGTAAGTGCAGGTACAAGCTCCTTCCAATCGTGTAATAGTACTTTGCACTTAGACGGCGCAAAGCATATATCATATAATACATTGACCACTAAAAAAAAGAGGAAATAAATAGCTGAATAACCTGAGAACAGGGAAGTTCTACGACTTCTTGAGTGTTTGAAGCGTCTCTGCAATAAAGTAATAGCGAGTCTACTATTTTAGTCTGAGCTTGACTAAGTCCCAACGTAGAACTTTTGCACAGGAGTGTGGTAATTTCAGTTCTCACATTCCATATAGTACAACTCCTAACTTAGTGATAGGGGGTGAAGTGATAGAACATGTTGACCACTTCACCTATTTGGGAAGTTGTATTAGCACCAACAGACTGATTGGCGATGAAATCTCAGCACGGATCCGAAAAGCTCGAGCTGCTTTCGCTGACTTACACCATCTCTGGCGTAGGCGTGACATCCGGTTATCAACCAAGGGACGTGTGTACTGCTCAGCAGTTCGCTCCGTCCTTCTCTATGGCTCTGAAACATGGCCAATACGAACGAGTTGAAGACATGAAAAGGTTGACTGCATTCGATCATAGATAGCTGCGATCTCTGTCTCACGTTAGGTGGTTTCACAAGGTAAGTAATGTTGACGTTAGGCGTAGAGTGTTGGGCAAACAGGGAAAATCAATCGACGAGGCTATAAAGTTACATAGACTAAGATGGCTAGGTCACGTGCTGCGCATGCCTAACCACCGCCTCCCCGACGGGGATTGCTAGCTGATATAGGTTCAGGTTGGAAAAGAGCCAGTGGTGGCCAAACAAAATCATCAATCCATGAAATCCTTGACAGTTAAACTGAGTCGTCAGGTAGGGAGATGCAGACTCCCGGGTTGGGGCCCTCGGGACTGACTCTAGGAATCAATGGCTGGAGACAATAGGTGACATGGCTCAAAATCGTTGTCAATGGCCAGCGCAGATGTATTCAGTCTCTGTAATCTTTCATATTCCTTTCTACCATTACCCATTCTGTTTCACTCTTATACTTGTCAAACTCTATTAATTCTCTTCACTCATCTTCTTGTCTACCTCTGTGTTCTATTTGGAACGTGGCAACTCGAACTGCTGCACTTCGGTGCCAAGTTCTATGTTGAATCCATACAGACAGACATATAGTACAAAAAGACAGACAAAAGAGAGAGAGAAAAAGGACTCAAAAGGGCTGTAATAAAAAGAAATGAGAGGGAGAAAAAATAATGATATGAAAAACAACATTAGGATTTAGTGGATATGGAGAATCACAAAGAGTGAATGCATCTGTACCACTGAGAATAAGTTTGAACTATATCCCTAACAGTTTTTAGCTAATGGATCTTAGCATCTCGAGGATCCCAATCAGGAAGCTTACACCTCCCTATGTGGCTGAAACAGACTGTCAATGATTTTATGGACTGATGACAGATTTAATTCTGACCACCACTAACTCTTTTCCAACCTGATGCTTCGTTGGATAACACTGTACATCAATGAAGGCAATGGCTAGGCATGCGCGATACATGTCCTAGCCATCTCAATCGATTCAAGGACTATCTTGATGAACACACTGCAAACCTGATGGACAGAATTGAATCGGCATTCCCAAGAATTAGGATACATGACGCTGGTCACACTTCGGTGACCACCTCTAAAGACGTAGTCGTTTTGTCATTAAAACAATGTCGATAGCAGGTCAAACTCACTTACATGCTCTAAATTGCTCAATTTCGCATTTAACCTGAATCCTGTTCTAAGCAGACACTTTTGCAATGATGACATTGATGTAGTGCAAACACCTTGCTTACACTGGGTGTAGACAACATTTATAAAACCAGTAGAAGGTTATAAATAAGTGAATAAAATGGATTCATAGAACTTCATAGAACCTCATGAAGAAAATGATAAATAAGGCAAATAACAATTAACAATTAAAATGCAAAAATCGATGAATGCATAATCTTGCGATTGACTCTTAGTTATATCACCCAAAAATGCACAACCATGGGTGTACGAGAGAAACGGCAGGACATTAAATCAGTTAACATTAAGCAAAAAAAGCACATACCTGTACAGCAGGATCAAGAGAACGGAAGATTTCTTGAATTTGATCTTTAAATCCTAAGCTAAGCATTTCATCTGCCTCATCCAGTACAAAACATTTGATTGTCTGTGTACGTAGATAGCCACGATTTATCATATCTAACACACGTCCAGGTGTACCGACTACAATCTGTTGACCCATTTGTAGTTGTTCAATATCTGCTGATACTTGTGTACCACCAATACACACATGGCAAGTAATATCCATATAATCACCCAGGGCTAAAACAACCTACACAATTCAATTAAGGAATTGAAATGAAACATGACTTTTAGCTATGATAAAGTAGCGAAACATATATTTTAATAAATTATGAGTTTTACGGATGAATTACAGGATGTTTTAGTTACAACGAATCGACTACTGGGAAAAACTGTAAGTGCTTAACAGCGGCTTCATCTTATCCTTAGACTTACTTTAAGAAAGTACCACCACAAGTTGTTTAGGGATCAGAATGAAGTTATTACACTTATTATAGAAATTTTAGTTAACTTTCAACAGTTAACACTCATCAAAACAGCTAATCTGCAGTTTTGTGTAAGGAATGCTATAGTGATTTAAATGTTAATGCCTCCATATTTTCTATTATCAAAAGCTACCTTCGCTGGCTGCATACCGCAGATCAGATGACCAGCCCGAAAGGATTAGCAACAAGTAACTCTGACAACGAACCAACCGACAACCTATCGCCCAATAAATATGCCGAAGGAAATAGAGATGGGTCGGGTACATGCTGAGGAGACCATAGAGTGGCATCACACACTAATGGCATCCCTCGAGTAGAACCTGAATGAGAAATGACAAGTTTAGCTTGGTCCAAGGGTGACAAGGAGGAGAATGTGTCGGAGATGCAAGAGTCCCAATCCAAGGTCAGTGACGGAATCTCAGTATGGATACGGTAGTCTCGTTTGATATCCATCAATTTGCATCATATTTGACATAAGCGTCACAACCCACCATCGATCGAATACATTTTCAGTGTGCAGATGCTCACTTCGTCTTATATTTGTATGAATGTTGGAGGCGGGAGATATGCAGAGGTTGGCGACCTTTTACAATAGGTAAATTCATTGAATCACTCATGTAATGTGGTGAAATAAAGTCAGTAATATAAAAGTGACAGACTGCGTTTCAACATAGAACAGAACACAGAAGTGCAGCAGTTCATTCTCCACACTCCATATAACCCACAAAGGTAGAAATAAAATTTAAAGAGACTATAATGAGCAGAAGTGTACGGAATAATTACATGGAGTACTATGAGGATCAAATGGATCTGGCAGAATACAAAGAGTCAGCACATGTGCCACTGAGACAGGTTTTGAGCCATATCATTTCCAGTCACTAGCCCTTGGTTCTCAACATCCTTAGTACTCTTGTCGCTCAGTCTTCAGCCGCTCCCCACAGGCCTAAAACCAACTGTCAAATACTTAATGTATTGACGTCATATTTTGTTTTGGTCACCTTTAACTACCCTACAGCCTAATCCTATACTAGCTAACTTTTTTGAGGAAGGCGATAACTCTGCATGCTTAACACGCGTCCCAACGATATTAACCAATTGACTTGCTCTCTTTACCGAATACTACACCTAACCTCAACAGTAATCACTATATTATGCATTATAACATGGGAGAAAAGACGAAAACATTTGTGGCCAAGGACAGAGGGCACAGCTCACAGTTATAAAGAAGGACAAAATCGTGTTGCACAGTAAATGATACCTTTGATCGATAGCTGGATATCACGTCTACCCCCAGAGACGATTCAAGTTTGCAAATGCCACAAGAACTTTTTGTATCTGTGCTGACATTTCGTCACCAAACAGTCCATTAAGGTTGATGCAACTTGATAAATAAGTGAAGCGACCAATATACTCAATTACTTTACTCCCTATTTTCTAAACTAGGAATAAAAAATGTAAGCGTTGTGCTAAGCGAACAGAGATAGTTGATATGTTAGGTTGTGAAGTTGCAGTTATTGAGATGGCTGTTACACATCCGGTACCACCTCCTTCGCCAACGAGCGTTATGAGATGAATTAGGATTAGTTGGCCAGATGAAGAAATGTCACCAATCCATGAAGTCTCTGATGGTTAGTAGTATGGCTGTTGCCGTATGAATCCTAAGAACTAGTGACTGCAGACTGCTGACGTGAATTTTTTCGCTATTTGTAGATGGTGATAATCCTCGAGGTTATTTTTTCTGTACATCCTCGTTCACTGTAGTTCCATCATATTTATCTACTTTTGTGCAGTTTTGCAGTGTGGTAGCTTGAAATGATGAACTTTGTACAGAGCTCTATCCTATTAGGTAAGGCTGTAATGGTTCAACCAATGTAGTGTTAAAGAAAGTGAATGTAAATCCATGAGAGTATTAACCCTTTAAAGGTTAAATATACGTCAACAGATGTGAAACCTTGATGAAACGCTGTCTACTGGTTATATAAATGAAACTAACTTCTTTAAGTATTTCCAGAAATGAGAAAGGCATTTGGGTATACTTATTCGAATCACCAATTAAGTTATTTAAAATCATATGAAACTGAACAACTTACCATTTGAATTTGTTTTGCTAATTCTCTAGTCGGAGCTAATACTAAAGCCTGACAGCGAGGATCGGTAGTGCAAATTTGTTGTAAGATCGCAATGCTAAATGTTGCTGTTTTGCCAGTACCCGACTGAGCCTGAGCTATAACGTTACGTCCTTCAATTGAAGGAAGAATGGCCCGTTGCTGAATCGCTGAAGGTTTCTCAAATCCATAGGCGAAAATTCCACGCAAAAGACTTTCTTTCAAATTCATCCGATCAAAAGAATCACATACATCACCATAATGGTTATTGATATCATTATCTGCCTCCATCTTATTAAAAAATAGAAGTAGGATAAACAAAAATGTGATTTGAGATATCATAAAGCTGATAAAAACTTTTAAAATTGACTGCACTATACGTTAAGTACCGTTTTAATGAACTGAGACATCGTTTCTTCCTCTTCATTTACGCATCTGATCCATGCTCGACCATTTTAAGGCAGCATATCTTCAAACAACAGTGTATATTAAGATAGTAATATCAAAATTTAAACGCATTTGGAGAACAACTCTACCACTAAAAAATAAACTCAAAGACCATCTAGGATACTGATGATTGGTATTAATTTGATCTGCTAGTGCACTAACATACATTTATGCTGAAAAGTATAAAGATCATCAAAATTTTATGGCCTTCCCAGCAAGATTACAAATGCTAGGGCTACCAGTCGGAAAACTTCAAGACACTTGTGATTGTTATGCGGCATCTCTCACCCTACCATTGCTTCAGTCAGCAATCGTTTACCACGGAACAAGGTCTGTTGTTCAAGCAAATACGAATAACAAGAAACGTCTATAAGGTCTTTTTAGTGAAAGATCTTCTTAATGACCTGGCATCATGACGATATTTTCAGAATTTGCATGTCTGAATTCTCCGTGTTTTCACGAGATCACTTAAAACAAGACCTATACAAGGGAATTCAGGCGGAAGCTTACTTTAAAATGTTAATGCCAATTGGTTTCAAATGGGAATTACAATTATCACGAAGAATCTCTGTTGTTAATTAAATACCATCATTCGTACTCTTTCCATATGGATTTCAACGTTTCATCAGCGAGACTACGCAGGTTTCCTGCATTAAAAACAATTACAACGAATATATATGTATGGCAAAATGGTTTTCTATGGCTGACTAGTCTACTGGCAAACAAAGCAAAGTTATAATTCCTATGCACGCATTAACAGAGAGACTGTAGACCTCCAATAAGCCTAAAAATATAACGTCAATCCCAATCCAAGTGACGATGTGAACACAAATATATGTAAGTGATTAAAAAGTGAGAACACGAAAAGGACCTGAAAAAGTCATGTAGCGCAAAAGGTCAAAACTTGTTATAAATTATGTCCAATTTTGAACACGCCACTCAGCGCCAGTGAATTTTAACACAGTTTCATGTTGATTCCACAGAACAAGACTGTACGAAACTAAGGACGTGTAATTCTTATTATATTTTGATCTAGCGTGCATTTAACAATATTTTAGAGATGAGCTTGTATAAACCCGCCTATTTTCTTCGGAGGCCTAAAGTAATTAGAACAATTAAATGTGCCGACGACATCTGGTCAATTTCATGATTTACTTCTCTTGAGAAAAGCTATTTTATGGAGGAAAATAAAAATGCATCTTTATCCATTTTACAGTGAAATTAGAACCATTATATAGGACTAACTCCCGGATACTGGGCAGCCTGTAGGACAGCCTGTCGACGGACGTAATTTTGAGTGCCCGCGAATGAGATAAACAAGTGATTTACTAGCTTGTGATTGGTCTGTTCGATATCACCTATAAGACTTAGTAGCGGTTTTACAAACTTTATTGGCTGTTTTGTTTGGCAGCCTGTAGACGGCCATAGGTCATTTGATCAGCTGATGGATATTGGCGTTATTTTTGGAAAATACGTCAAGGTTAGGTCATTTTTCGTTGTTTTTCACGCTTTTTTACATATATTCCTGCTAAAAGTTGATGAAAAGCGGCCTAATCAGCAGAAAGAGCATATGGTGGTGTTCTTATCCGGACGTAGGTCACAGGCAGTTTACAGTTTGTTGAAAATACATAATTTTTACGTTCAGAAAATGTCTAATTACTTGAAGACACATGTTATAACGACTTTTTGTGAATTTATTTTGCAGTTTAATGGATTACACATGGACATGACGAGGTGGGATAGCTCGTTTTGGTAATTATTTCACTTACTTTGTTGTGTACTTTGCCTAAATGCTGACAAGGCTCCTCCACATGTATTTCTTTAATAAAAATCTGCAGAAATACATAAAAATTATATATGCATAGTATTTCCTTATTTGATGGCATAAAGTTGATGTTAGCAGGCAGATGGAATCTCAACTTTGCATTATTGAAAAATGTTGACTAACATAATTACATACAGTTCAACTCATTATTTTGTCATTTTAAGCATATTTAATGGTTAAATATTGTGTTTATGTTATGTACTCGTCGCTAAATTATTGTTATGGACTGGTCGAGAAATTAGTAGTCCTGACGCGAGAAGGCGGAAATCAGAAGACCACTAGGTTGCGATGATACTTCTATTGTCCAAACACAAGGAGACGAAATAAATGGTCTCACACCAAAGTAAGTAAGTAATTCACAAAATTGTGTATGCGAGATATATATGAATGTTCCAGACAAGCGTGGGAATAAATCATTAGACAGTCTTAACATGGATGGCTAATTTTAATGGAGTGTCGATCAAAATATACATAGCGAATATAGCAGACATGTCAACAACCCCACGTATAATATGGATATATGTCACCAAGCAACGGACTGTCAACAAACACTCATATTATATATAATAAAATATAAGGAGAATATACATTATTAAAGGAGACAAGTTCACACAAGTGAAATGGTCACAGATTTTTTTTTCAAACAGAAAGAGAGACCAACATGCACACACACATAAATATATATATGTGGATACATATCAGTTTACACTGATAACAATGTCTACATCTGTATAATTCTTATGTTCTTTTTCAGATAATATCTACTTTCGGGAATTTCATGGATTTGGGTGATAAAGAAAAAGATGCCTGCACTGTTGTCGATTTTGTATTACATGTTAATTTATTAATAAATTTATTCCTCGTTATTCGTTTGTTTATTCTACTTGATAATGCTGATTTCTAGCCTTTGCGTAAGTCGTGAGGTACGTAGTATTTGACGTTATCTTAGAAATGCCAAGTAAGACTATATATTCGTAGACGCTTATTGATAAAACGATTATGTCGCAACGTAATGAATTTACTACGTCCACAGTTAAAAGAAGACATTGAGATTATAAGCGCTTAGAGTTATATTTCGTCTTAGTAGGAACCTATTAACGGACTTCGGATTCATAGTTACACAAGGCTAGTACGTTAAAATCTAATCGTTTAAACTTTTCAACAACAATTTCCGTAATTTAGAGTGAACAAGAGTTTTTTATAGGAAAATTTATTTACAATTATCTTTAAAAATATGTACATAGATCAGTCCGAGTCTGACGATGTAGATGCCTGATCATCCGCCTGTCCACCAGCTTCAAGCAGATAATTGCATACGAAAAGAAACGCACTTCTACATATCCTAGGATGCGTCTGTTGAAGGTTTCTGATTTGATACATTATTCCTTGTATTAGCATCTCCATGTCCAAGTCCACCGCTGTTGTCGATTGCGATTGAATGATAGTGTGGTTGTAATATCGTAACCACCTAGTACTATGTCTAAATACATCTTTTACAAGATAACTGTAGGCCTATATGAACTTACCTAGACGTGTATATAAATGACATTTTGTATGAACAAGATGACGGCATGGCAAAAGCATATTTTTGTTTTGAAAACATGTGCAGCTGCAGTCATGTTTGTCCACAACGAAGTACCTTTCACCTTCTTCGAATACTACGTATGCTTCTGTGTAATCGGTGACCCTCATTTCTGGATGCCTCCTGATGCTTTTGTAAAGTGAGTAGGCGGCATAGCTTGTAAGCTGCCTCAAAATGCTGGAAAGGCCTTCGTCCACCTAAAAAATTTCAAGTTACAACTATTGCACTTACGTTAAAATGAATGTAGTAATGGAGGTTGCGATTTCCTTCTATAGCCTTTCTTCTCGATGACTCTATGGAACACTTCCATATCTCACGAATGCTCAATTCTAATGGGAAGCACTTGCTTAGATGTGTCTTCAGGTGTTTATGGCAGCACTCAACTCTGTTATTCGTTTTGTTGCCAAGAGTGACAACGTCTTTCATATAACAGGCTGCCCACATATCACGACAACTCCATAAGTTGTTATTTATGTAGGACATGGCTGCAGGATACTCCAACCGTAACAAATTCATTAGCTCACTAAACCTAGAGATGTGTTAACACAATCACTTAATTACCTGCCGTTACTCGTTGTGTACACCATCTCTTTAAACATCTTTTTACAATTAGGATCACGGAACTTCAGGATGTTAGGTCATTAGTAATGTCGCTTACTTTGTTATTGAAGGCCCGGATGACATGAAATGCACACAATATGATGGAGCAGGCAGGGAACTCATTACGAATTGCACCTTGCTCTGCATGACTGTTGTCAATTACAAACGTGACAGTCTGCGATGTATCACCCATGATATTCTTAAAGGACCGTAATACTGCTTCAACGTCAACAAGTCTTTCACGATGAGTTATACTGTACATGACTGGACAACTTCTGTTCATACCATCTGTAACGACCAGTTGATATAGAGGATGACTGCAAGAGATTCGTTTAACATAAAAATATTACCCTTCCTTATTCGTATTGTAGGTTGAATCCATGCCCACAACCTCTGGAAATTTCTTATACACACTTATCATTTCCTTTGTTGCGAAACAAAACTTTTCCACACGTCGTCGACTGTCCATCACGCACCATACTGAACCTGTGTCACGAATTTCACGGATCAGTGTGTCAATGTCTCGCATTCCTATGCATACTGTTAACGCAATATAATAACTTACTAGGGTACACCAGTTCTCGGAAATTCCGATAATCATCGTAAGTCATCAGCTTGCCGAACTCAACATCAACCATATTCATTACTTGAGCAGGGGGGGCGTTTCTTTCGACAAGAGGTAATATTTTCCTTTTTCTTCTGAATTAAGTCTCCGAACTGTTGGCTCAACAGACAATAGGAGTTCTCTTGTCAATGCATGGTTGTGTCGAATATTGACAGGTTCGACCACTTTATATAGTCCGAATTCCAGCTTAAATCTGAAACTTGATGGACATCCTATGCACTTAGATCTTAAATATAAAGCTTAGGTAATTCATAGTACTCACTGTGATATTCTCAGGTGCTTGCTTTCTGATGGTCGACGACGACCAACATGACATATAAATGAAGCATACAAGTACTTGTAATCTGGATCAACCTCGTTATTTTCATCACGACGAACCCGAGAGTCACGTATTTTATACAAGCTGCCGGTTCGCTACAATTTTTTTTTTTTGATTTTTTGATTTACAGCTTGATTCCACAATGTATTTTTGGTACAAGTATGGAATTTTCAGCATGGATATCGGTAGCCCAAATTTTGCAGGCCGACCATAGATATCAGGTGTGCGTCGGCGTGGGCTCGAACCCCGGACCATGCCATTACTACAACTTGCATAAACCTACCACCTCTTGAAAACGACGTATACATTCTTCACATTCCTTCCAAGTCCTTAGAGTTTGGAAGCGAACTAATTCATTGAATTCAGTGGTTGAATCAACTGATATTTCATTAATTCTCTCTATCATGACTATATGCATTACCAGTTATTCTAAAGAACAATTGAAATCACCTTAAAAAGTAGAAACCAAAAAAACGACAGCCTGTCGACGGACGTAATTTTGAGTGACCGCGAATGAGATAAACAAGCGATTCGCTTGCTCGTGATTGGCCAGTTTGTCATTCGAGTTGAGGTAATTTCAAACATCATTTTGCTGCTTGGTTAAGTTCTGAATTTCCGTGAGCGTTTTATCAAATTGGAGAGATAATTAACAACACAAATTATTACAGCTCAGGAAAGAAATGATATAGCAGGGAATTTATTCGCTGAATTCAACAGATTCATGCCAAACTGAGATCTGAGGACTTCTCAGGAGTGTCAAAAATGCAAACAATGTTCTGAAGAAGCAATAACTTCACGCAACTTCAATTATCGCTTGACCATTATTTTCAGAGATCCTTAAATAAGTATAATATACACAGTGGTCTGGCTAATCATAATAAAAACGGCATGGTTGATGCAGCATATACGTATATACAAAAGTATTACTTTTGTATATGTAGGTA